GAACCTTATGGATCCAATCATGTCCTAATTATTTTGTCATTACAAAACTTCTCCGCAGCAAAAGCCACCTCCAGTAGAAAACATAGAATATGGAACCTTAGCAGAGCCAATTGGGTGATATATACCAGTGCTTTGGAAGCAATGAAAATACCATTAATCTATGAAGAATTATTAACAAATATAAACCAGGCAGCCAACGTCGCTATCCCAAAACATTCTTCCAATAAAGAAAAAAACAACGGTTATATTCCGAAACCATGGTGGAACAATCATTGTCAGTTAGCAGCTGAAAATAGAAAACATGCATTTATAAATTATAAACAGAATCCAACACTACAAAACCTAATGGAGTATAAACGACTAGATGCTATTGCAAAGAAAATCTTCAAACAGAAGAAAAAGAAGAATTGGATTAAATTTTGCGAAAGTCTAAACTCAAGAACACCAATAAAAGATGTCTGGCGAAAAGTTAATTGTTTTAAAAACCGCAAACAAGCCAACAAAGTACCCATTGGTCCAGAAGATAGATGGTTGCAGGAATTCCATAGAAAAATTGCCCCTGCATGGGTTCCAAATGACGACACTGAACAAGAATATATCCAAACGGTACCCAGACAAAATCACAATTTTGACGAAAATTTTCATTTATGGGAATTGCATCGAGCCCTTGAACAAAGAAATAATATTTCTCCAGGTATTGACAATGTGTCATACTCACTGTTATACAACTTACCTATAGAATATAAAAATTCACTAGTACACATTTTCAACAATATTTGGACAAATAAGACACCAGTACCGAATAGTTGGAAAGAGTACCTGATAATTCCGATTAAAAAACCTGGCAGACGAGAACGTGATCCAAGTTCTTACTGACCTATCTCCTTATCTTCATGTCTTTTAAAAACATTTGAGAGAATAATTAAAAATAGATTTGAACATTGGCTAGAACACGATGGTATACTTCCAAGTTCCCAATATGGTTTTCGCAAGTCTAGGTCCACTCAAGATGCAACTACAGCTCTAGTTACTTCAATTCAGCTTAATTTTACGTCAAATAAGTCTACAGCAGCTGCGTTCCTTGACATTTCTGCTGCTTTTGATAATGTCAATTTAGACATTCTTTACCAAAAAATGTTGTATATTGGAATCTCTAGATCATTTGCTTTTTTTTTTAAATCTTTATATTCTAACAGACCAACTTTTTTAAAAATTAATAATGAGGAATTTTCATACCCCCGACTAACCAATATTGGATTGCCACAGGGGAGTATTTTAAGCCCGATTTTATATATCCTGTACAACATAGATCTTGAAGTTAGTATACCCAACCAACCAAAAAACAAAAATTCTTCAATATGATGATGATGTTGTTTTATATACAGCAGGAAAATTGTTAAGTACCTGTGAGGATAATTTGAAAGCCATATTAGAAATCGTAAATCAGTACTATGAAGAAATAGGATTATCAATTTCTGACACAAAAACTGAGGTGTGTTACTTTTCACAAAAACATAGAGTTCCACAAGGCAATCTTAATGTGGGAAAATTTAATTTTCCTATAAAAAACTGTATTAAGTATCTTGGTACCTATCTAGACAGAAAATTATTATGGAAAGATCACATTCATCAAATTGTTAAAAAATCAGAAAGCTCATTAAACATTTTAAGAGCTTTCTGTAAAACAAATTGGGGAGCAGACCCAAATATTGCTTTGATGTTTTACCGTAACATGATCAGGCCAATTTTCGACTATAACTGTCATTTATTTGGATCAGCGACCAATACACATCTAAACAAACTTGAAGTTCAAAAAAATAAATGCCTGAGATTATGCCTAGGTTATTTAAAATCCACTCCAGTCCAAATAATGGAAATTGAAGCGGTGGAACCTCCATTGCATTTACGCCGCCAATTCCTTAGCGACAAATTTACAGTCCAAATTATGTCCAAAAATTGTAAATACCTGCAAGATCTTAATGAGCTATCAGTTTTAGACCTCACTCATAGATCCTGGAGAACTAAAAAATCTATACCTTTGGTAGAAAGCTATCTAAGTACGATTAAATACAACGATATTCTCTATACAAGCCAAATTCCGCCCTACTACGGTGAAATGGCAAAAACACTATTTTCTAAAAAGGTTAAAATATGTTACTTAAACTCACATTTACTCCCAAATATGTTTGATATAATTATTAAAGAAGAATGGACAAACTATCAGTACATTTTTACTGATGGGTCAAAAGATGCAGATGGAACGGGCTGTGCAATGTTCCACGAAAATAAAAATTACCATCACCAGTATAGCTTACCCAGTGAATGCTCAATATACACAGCAGAAATGATGGCAATAATGTTTGCTCTTCAGTATGTAGTGCTGAAGCCGTCTAGCAACTATGTTATATTTACTGACAGTAAAAGTGTGGTCGACAGATTCAACAACATTCAAACAGCCAAACATATAAACCACATTGAACTGAAAATTCTAAAAATTCTTTCTGAAACTATACAATTAGGACTAAATGTAATAATTACATGGATCAAGGGCCATTCAGGAATAAAAGGCAATGAGATCGTTGACAATTTAGCTAAATCAGCATATATGCTTGGAGAAAAAGTAAACAAAAATTTAATTCCAGCGACAGATATTGACACCGTTAGTAGACAAAAACTTAAAAATAATTGGCATTTACATTACAGAGAATGTAAGACGGGCTTAAACTTTTATCATTGTAACACTAGGATACCCTCAAGAAGATGGTTTTACACAGAATCTAATCGACATTTTATAAAGACCATTAATCGGCTGAGAGCAAATCATGCTCTTACGCCATCTTACATGAATGGAATCGGCTTATCAAATACTCCCAATTGTACTTGCGGCAAAATAGGCGATCTAACACATATTATATTAGAATGTGATTTACAAATGAATAATATAAACGAACTTTATAAGGAACTAATAAATTCTAAGTGTTGTTTTCCAATAAACCTTAATATTTTATTATTTTCAAATAATATGGAAATTCTTCATTGCATTTACAAACATGTTAAAATATGTAAATACAAGTTGTAAATAGTATATAGTCATAATCTGTTAATATGGTTTGAAAAAATAAAAACAAAAAAAAAAAAAACAAAAAAAAAACGTATAGGTACCACAAATTAATAAAAAAAAAGAATTAAGAAAATAGAAATAGAACAAAAACAAAAGATAAATACAAAAAAAAATAACAAAAAAAAAGAAAAAAACAATACAAAAAACAAAAAAAAACCAAAACAAAAAAATTAAACAAAAAAAAACAAAAAAAAGAGAAACCAAAAAAAAAACTAGAAAACAAAAGAATAAAAAAAAAAAAACAAAATAAAAATATATCAAAACAAAATTTATGTATCTATAAAAATATTAGGTATATGTAGTAATAACATTGATAAGAAAATTTTGACTATGAATCTGCAATCTATAATAATTAAAATTCAGTCGATTTTAACAATCAACACAAACAAGTCTGGCTAATTGGCTCTGCCAAAGCCATTTTTCAGGAAAAAAAAAAACATTTACGAAAGTAATGAGAAATACACTGAAATCATTCTTCGATACTTTAGCAAATACTAGGGGATTTCAATATATTATACTATATATTTCAAAGAATTTGCAAATGCTACAAACTTTACCAAATTATTCCTATAATAATAAAAATGCAAATTTTTCGGGACATGCAAGACGTCCCGTCGAATAAAGCGCTGTCCCGTCCCGTCCCGCGTGCGTCACTACTCTCTACAAGTCTACAATTATTAGCCCAGTCTGGTTATGCAAAAATCATCGATTTTACGGCAAAATTTTTCCCAGATATATAAAGCTTTTATGACATAGGTGGGGGTTAATAGATGACGAATAGATGAAAAAGTACTCGTATTTTTACCTTGCGTGTTTTTTTTAAACAATAATTTATGGTCACAAGTTGATTTTTTGTCTATAAGTTTTTCCCTTATATTTTACATAAACAATATTTATATCAGTTTTTTATATCAAGAATATCTTTATTTTCCCGTTTTTTAAATTAAAATTGATAAATAATTTGGAGATATTTGCAAAAAAGCAGTTTTTTTGTACTAATTTATAAATGTTAATAATTTTTTTATTAACAAAATAAAATGTTAATAATACATTTGAACGTCGAGAAATTACCGTCTTTTAAATTTGTGCGAAATTTCTCCCCGATCGGTCAAATAGTTATAAGTTATTTAATTTATTTATCCCTGAACTTGCTCTATTAATGATTCTAGACACATTTAGCAAATTTCATAGAATTCTTTAAGACTTAAACTATCTCAAAAGTTAAATGCCTATTACGTTTTCATCGAAATTCTTTACAAAATAAACGTTTGAAAAAGAGGTATGTTTTTTTATTTATAAACAATTGGAATAACTTCGTACAACCATTGGATAGGTGGTAAAAAAACACATTTAAAAAAGCATATGACCAATATTAATGAAGTTAGGGCCTATTAAAAAAATCATATCTCCATTGTTTATAAACATTAAGAAGTAAGATGTGCACAAATTTTGAACGAAAATCTAAACTTTATATTGAAACTTATAGCTATAAAATTCATCACATTTTTCTAAGCTTACAGCTCTTAGAAATGAAAATACTTTCGAAAGATCGACGTAGGAAAGTGGAGGGGATAATTCAAATTGAAATATGTAGGAAAAATTTACATTATCTCGGCTTCCATTGCTCGTCGAAATATGGATAACTATATAGATTTCACTGGCCGGGAAATATATGAAACCTCGGAAAAATTGAATCCACTTACTTTTTTTTGTAAGTTTGGTTTTGCATGCATACACAAGATGAAATAAAAAAGAGAGGTTAATATCATAATTTTCCCCGCCACTGAACATTACATAAAACTCTCAAAAAGTACGCAGACGAAAAAAAAACATTATAATTAGATGTGTTCTTGGGTCTTCCCCACTTGCAGAAACTATCGTCAGAGTGTCACAACACACAACACCTCCAACCAAAGCACTTCAACAAACAGCGAGAAATTGTGATATTAAAATATCAACATTATCGAGCCATCTGTGATTTATTAGCGCATGCCAGTGTTATATATTTTAAACATTTTGACCAGTGCGTCACTTTACTGGCGTTTATTGAAATTAAATTTATATTCAAGCCGGTTTTGAGACTCAAGGTGCTGCTTCTCAGTTGAATCTACACCTCTCTCCTTTTTGATATCAAGTTTACAGTTCGTGATCAGAAGGCTACTTTTGGAATAAACACTACAAAGGTAAGTTTACATTTACATCGTTTCTATTGTTTAATAATCGGTTCGATTATTGTTGTTTAATCTTATCATTCATTATGTTATTGTGCTGGTATAAAGACATTACTATTTATGTAGGTAAATAAAATTTGGTAATTTAAACTTATAATAAAAACTAAAAATAATAATTTAAAAATGCATAAAGTTTTTATAACAATTTTAGTCATATTGTAATTTTTCATAGGTTTTGTTTGAAAAATGATATTTGATCAATATTCCAGGTGTTAATTTGATGGAAGCTAGGCGCAAAATTAATTAATTTAATTCCAGATATTTTACGTACATGACAGTTCTTTATTTGACCTGTAAATTATATTTTACTAGGGCCTGTCTTTTAGGAACATTTAAATGTTTTTCTGTCATGTTCATTGCTCTTGCCAGTTCCTTGCAATCATTGCGTCTTCGATTTCGAATTCGCCACACCAACTTCTCGGTGCTCGTCTTATCTCTTTTTTCTCAGAAACTAGTTAAATATTTTCCTCTACCAATTTCTTCTGTCATCCTCACCAAACTATATATTATACTTAGATATTTGGATGATCTTACATTTTTAACTTTTATATTTTTTAAGTTTAAGTCGCATGTGTTTGTCTACTATTAGATGTTCACATTTTGACATATTCATTGTTAAATCTATCGCATGATGTTCCTCTCATAACTTTTTATCATAGCGACAAGTTATTTTCCATTCACAGTCATCACAATTTGTCTATCCGCGAAGAACAATGTGAAAAGGTGAGTGATAATGGAATAAACAACAACCTGCGGGTTTTTCAATTTTTATGTTCGCCGCCAAAATATAAAGTAAACGATATCTAAACTGTCAAGTTGTGTTGCGTTCTTTCTAGTTTTATTTATTGTTTTTGGTCATTGCCTGTGAAAGATATACCTCTATTTACTTTAACAACTTCTATTGCGTCTTCTACTGTCAGCTGAATATTTTGTTGTCTAATTATAATGTAATAAATTATACCAAGGGTTTTATGTATGGTCTTGTAAGCAAAAAATCGTTTAAGATCTTTAAATCATGTTGTTGACAAATATTTATACCTCTTCCACTTTTATTGTTAATTATTATCTCTCCATTTATTCCTACCACTCTACTATGTATTGATATCCCTATGTATTTATTTCTCGCGTTTATGTCAACTCCAAATATTTCATGTAAGTTGGGGATGCTATTTAGAACTTTCCAAGGTCTTATGCAAAAGATTCTTTCTCTTGGACCAAGTAGTTATTATTTACAATATACAGTGCGTCAATTTTATAACGTACAATGGACTATATCTCACGAAAAGTTAATATCGAAAAATGCGTGAAACCATTTCTAGGATAGTAACGTTAACTAAAATAACACGAAAGAGAACTCTACCCACCCACCACAACCAAAAAGTTTAAATTGTTTAAAAGATTAAAAAATTCTATTTAATGTCCAATGGTATAAATAATAATTATACAGCGTGAAGCAGTAATTGTGAAACTTTGGCTTAAATGGCAACTTTAATAAGGTTTTTATTGAACTACAAATTTGTTCAAACTGTCAATTAAGTAAATGTTCAAAGTGGGTTCTGTTGTTTTGTAAACAATAATACAGTATATTTTCAAATTCTGCACGAACTTTGGTAAACATTTTTCTAGTAATAGCATGTTCTAGTGATATCGCAATTCCCTAAGTGACGCAGGTTGAGTTTTATAAACAACTGACGTGAGGTAACCCCATAGAAAAAAGTCAGGTGGCGGTAATTCTTTTAACCTCGGTGGACCAAGAGGACCTCTCTTTCCAATCCGTTTGTTCGGATAATTAGTATCCAACCAGTGCCTAACTGGAGCTGCATAGTGAGGAGGTGTCTCATCTCCATCTTGAAGTGGTTATCTAATTCATTGACAAAGGTTCGATGGTGTTTTCCAGCATATCGAGATAAATTGCCTGGTATGAACAAGGGGCCAATTATAGCATCGCCTAATATTCCTACCTAAACATTCAGTTTTTCAGGATATTGAGTGTGACCTTCTCTGAATCGATGCGGATTCGCATCACTCCAGTACCGACAGTTTTGTTTATTTATATTACCATTCAACATAAAAGTACATTCATCAGTGAAACAAATATTTTTTAACATTTTCGGTTCAACGCGAATTATTTCAGTCATTAGTTCACAAAACTAAATTCATCGGTCTGGATCAGCATCGCCTAGTTCTTGAAGAAATTGTGTTTTGTACGGGTGAAACTTATATAATTTCATTATCTTTCTAACCGACTCATGTGAAAGTCCTGTCGTTGCAGATACTTGACATGTTGATGCAGTAGGCTCTATTGCAAAATTTCCAAGAACCTCAATTTGGAATGCTTCATTCAGTAATCTTGGGGCATCCATTTTTTTATTTTGCACTGATTCCGTTTCTCTAAACTTTTCAACTAAATCGCGGACATACACGTGACTAAAATTTTTGTCCGGATGCATTTCATGAATTATTTGAGCGTAAATAAAACTGTATCTGGAAGGCAAAGAATCCAAGTACCTGGGAGCGATTAGCACGTTTTTGTCAGTGTTTTGTATATAATAATATCTTTCAACAATAGTATCATTATATTATATTTTTCTTTTCTTTAAATATTTCCTCTTCAGAAATCTATATTTATTTATCTATCATGATTTTTCATGCACTTCACATATTTTCAAGTCCTTGTTTCATCACGTTGTTACTGGGACTGTATTATATTTAGTCTTATAAATTTTGTATAATTTAAATACGATAATTATAAGTTAGTAATAAGATAGAGATAAGAGTAATATGATAAAAAATCGCTATAGTGAACATCAATTTCGTTAACAATGGTATACGATTTTTCGTCGTTTAATGACCTTGGAAATCAATTTAAGTTTCCGTCTCAATGTGTAAACAAAATGGTAAATATTCTAAAATTAGTTTTTAGAAATTTATTTGAGGTGCAGTGAGGTTTGTTCACTTTGCTAACATAGTAATAAAAATAATTAAAAAGGAACTACATATATATTAACACAAATAATTATCCTTAAAAATCTTATTTTTTTTTCTTTCTGCACACGATTGCCTATAATATTAACTTTTCTGTGCCGTATTGTACCGGCCTGCCTACTCAATGCCTCTTAAATTTCTTCCATCTTATTTAAAATGTATGTTGACAGACTTCTACTTCAGTTGAAAAAAAAAACCGTAAAACAATAAGAGTAAACATCAATGAAAATTCAGTGGTTCACTTTAAATATGACGTAAGATAAAGGTTGATAGAATTATATGGTTTGGAAATAAACATGAAAAATGCAAAATACATGTTGATTAGAAGGACATGATTTATTGACATAATTAAGCCAACATAAAACAGGTAATACAGTATGGATAATGAGGCGTTACAATAATATTAAATGGATGAGACGTTGTAGGCTTATAAAATAAAGTAGGATGCCCTAAGAAGGTTATTAACCAGTTACATCCTGTAATATGAATGCATTCATTAACAGTACAAACAAAGATACGTATTTTTAGAACTTTTCTCAAGAGTAGTACTGTTACAAACAGCGCAGGGATATAGGTATTAACAAAGAAGGGAAAGTATAGAATAGACATCTTAATAATGGTATCTTTGAGATGAGCCTGCCTAAAATTGTTGCAGATGTTTCTTTCCTTCAACAGAAGATGAGAACCAAACTTCTAATTGGTTGATAGTGAAAGACTTCGCTTAATCAATCTTCGTTTAAGCAAGGTGTAATTCGATGTTAAAGTAATAGTAAATTGTGAGCTTAAGTATTTTTATTTTAGTCGAGCACAGTTAATATTACAAACTCTTTTACAAACACTTTTTAAATTATTTTTATTTTACAACTTGTCTAGAGAAGAACTAAGCTTAAATGACTAGTTTGCTGTGTTGAGTATGTACGTTTAATAGTTTAAAGAGAGCGAAATATGCATTAAGGCGATATAGGTACAGTTTTATTAACTGAACTGCGAGATATTTTTGATTTCGCCGCGATATTATCCTAACTTAGGATGAGAGGATATGTAATAGCATCGTGATGAGTTTGTCCTACCAAGGATAAAAGAATGAGATTTTTTGAGAGCGAGATATTTCTTATTTGCGTGTGTAGGTAAAACGATGTCTAACAGGATAGTGGTATAGCTCCTAAGTAATGCTTAGGAGCATTTAATAACTTTAATGTAAACTGCTGCGTTTTACGTTAAAATAAACTAGTGTTTTTATTAAGAGTTCGTTTTGTCCAAAATAAGAGTCATCTCACAGTCAAATTTTGACTTTACGTTGTCAGAACACTCAAACAGTAGATTATAGCTTTTTTATGTGGCAATTGTTATATTGAGTTTGACCAAGACTGTGGTTTGATAGAGTTAAAAAAATAAAAGAACCAAATAGAACCTTTTTGTAAACCTTAAAAGAACCTTCTGCAAGTAGAAAGTTCTTTACAGTTCAGATGTAAAATGACGATTTTTTAGACTTTCAAACACTTACACCATACTTCAAGAAGAGCGTAAGTGCAATACAGAGCATGCAATGGTTACATTGTTAACAGGACAAACCTTTAATCCTGTTTTACAATAAAACAGCTGCAGGTATCATAGAAAAGTTTAGAAAACTATCTATGAAACCCATTCGAGCAAAATTCTGTCCTTCTGTCAGATCTCTTGCCAGTACCGATTGACAAAAGGCCTCTTATTAAGCAGTCTAAATATTCAAATCTTAACAGTTAATCAACTGCTTACCTACAACTTATCATGAGCTTTTGATAAATCTGCGACATGATGGTCAACAACAACACTGATGTCGATGAATCATAAGGTAATTATGTATTAAAGTTATGGTGAATAATAAATTTGTACAAAAACTTTATGATCTTTTTACATTTTTACCTTTATCTTGCATTACTTAGAAATAAAAGGGTACAAGTGCTATTAAGTAATATAAAAATAGTTCC